AACCCAAATTTAATACAAAGTGATGCCGTTTTAATACTTGTAGAGAATCGGACAAACATATTGAATGTTTCTCATTTTGGCTGGCCAACACATTGTGTCCATCATTTCTTGGAAAAATCCCAAACAATGTGACTTTGTGAGGAAGTGAAACAAAATTTTATTAACACTTGACGCCAACTCTTGCTTTCAAATGACATTTGAGTTAGATAGAATAGAACAATTAATGCTCGATGTTAGATCAGAGAGATCCAGTACTCACAGTGTTCTTTACAAAACACTTGATCATTTCCATAAGCCTCGACAAAAGCAGCATCAAGCTTGAGATCTGATCAAGAATATGGATTTGATTTGATGATCAGTAATTATTGCATCAAGCTATACATGTAAATCCCACATGTACGGGCACAAGCATTGCATATTCTTCCAATCCCAAATTCCACAAGCTTCATCAAACATTTCATCATGAAGAGGAAGGTAGACATTGGATAATCCCAATAACCCAATTAATGCTTGTTTAACTATTTATCCGTACATTAAAGTTGCCCAAATTAATTGTTTTTGTATATTAGGCCTTCGGGCTCAGCTATTAATCTCATAAGAAAGCCCAATTTTATTTTATTGGCCCGTATATTGTCAACTTCATTTTTCTTCTTTCTCTTTAGCAGTAAATAATACAATTTGTTTATAATATTTATTCAGCCTACTGTAAATAGACAAAACTATATATACCATTTTCTTCTTGTAATCAGGATAAAACATCCATCATCAGGATATTTATTCAGAAGTTTCATGCTCTCATGTCAAATAGTTGTAATAAACAAATGTATGATGTGGTTTAATATAAAATGCAAAATACCCATTGGAACTTCGAAGACAACATCACAATAATTATTCATATTGCAATATAATAATGTTAACACAATTAATTAAGCTTATTAGTGAGTGCATTAAGGGGCATTGTGTTTGTTGGTGCATGAGTGGTGCCATCCTTATAAGCCCTTTGCTTCCCATTTTTCCAACAATTTATTATATAGATACTCGATACATCAATTTTACCGATCTTTTAAAAAGGGATAACTCTTAATTTTCATGTATAGATTTGTTTCCCTTTGAAATGAGAACTCAGTGGATTTTTACCAATTACCTTTGTATTGTATGTGAATAAGAATCTATTTTAAAATGAAAACATCCCATATAGATTTCTTAAAAGAGAAATTACTTATTTAAAGGGAACCTAACTTGTTAATGGAAACATTGTTATTATAGTAAATATATATATTAAAAGATACATATAAAAAAAATGTATTCAATAATTCACTAAAAAGTGGAGAAAGCCAGCACAACCAATTCAACAATAATTTATAAAAGTAGAATGTGATTAGTTATGGAGTATATAAATGTAATTGAATAATGAAGACCAGATCAATTCTTTGTAACAAACTTGTACCAACTGTTTGCATTCTTATGTCATTCAAATGAAGACCTTATCTTCAATTTCACATTTCTTATATACTATTTTGTTTTTATTGATCGTTGCTCGACAACTCACGAGGAGTGTGTGTGTTTTTTATACAATCACTAACAAATCCTTAGCCATCTCTTGGAATAAACTTTGGTTTACTTTCGGCTAAATGCAATCAAAAGTGGAAAAAGTCAATGGAAGGAACGAATGTGTTGATTCTCAGATGAAAATAATTAAACTTTATAATATAAAGAAAATGCAAAATTTATAAAGTTGACCGCTCGTAATCCTCTCTATTAGGCGGCTTTGTCCTTACTGACTCTTTCCACTTTTGACGGCTCCGTCCACCGTCGTCTCTCCTTCCGTTACCGTTTCCGTTTAATTTATTTTATTTAGAACAAAAAAAAAAGAAATTCAAACGCCAGCTCGCTCTGTTTATCTCTGCAAGTAACCAACTACCGCTAAAAC